AAATTCTAAATAAATTCACTATATAGTGGATAAACTTGATAACACCTTTTTCTTATAGACATTTTTTTTTTGTCTTTTGTCTTTTGTCTTTTTCCGTGTCCGGCAACGGATCGCAACCCTCAGTGTTGCCCCCGTACCGGACCAGGGACCGGCAACGGGATTGCAAACCTCGGCGTTGCTCCCGCGCCTCGCTCAGCCAGTGAGCGGGAACCGGTATGTATGTGGGATCCGAACCCTCGGTGGGAGCGCCTGCTGCGCTTCCCAAGCGGCGCACTGTAGCAGTGCGTCACCGGGCCGGCCCCTTACTGGTCATCTTTAAAAAAAAAAAAAAGAAACTGAGATAGAGTTTTTAAAAACTGGAAAGAAAACTTGTTTATGTGAGAGAAGTGTATATACAACCAAAATCCTCCAGGCTGTGTTTCCACAGAGCTAGAAAGTGGCCAAAAAGAGGCTTGTGGGACTATGAAACTCTGGTCTTGAGATACTACTTTTCTCTGGCTGGATTTTATAAAATCACAATCACGAAGGTAGTCTGTTGTCAGAACAACTTGCTTCCAAACATTTATTTATAATATCAAGCTCAAGCTCTTTAATTTATAGATTTTAATCAACTTTGTTGAATTTTCTAAGTGGCATTCAGGCCACATGTGTGCTTTTCTGTGGAGCTTACATGATATCCTCTTATGTGCAAAAAAATGGGTGGGGGGGTGGAGATGAATGTTGATGATGTTGTATAATTTTATTTCCATTTGATTGGGGATGAGTAGATTGCTCTTTTTCTTTAAGCTTGGGCCTAGTACAGAACTTCATGCTCAGTGTGTGTTGACAGAGGGAATAAGAACTATCAGTGCCCTGAAATAAAGAACCAAAGATTCTTGTCAGATACTTGTTTACCTTCCTCCCTTCTCTCCCACTATGCCAACTCCCTATGCCCAGAGACTTTTGGAACGTGTTTCATTGCTAGGTTTTCTTTATATGTCATCACGGAGTTTTCCCCAAAGAAAGGGAATGTAGATAGAGAGAGATAGTGGCAAGGTTACATTACTGAGGTTATTGCCTTTGAAATTGGGCCCTCATCATTCTAGGCTTGCTTGCTTGTTTGCATTGTTGTAAATTAGAGGAGGAAACCAGAGGGAGGTGTGCCAAATAAACATTTGAATAACTGTTTAGAATATTGTTTTTTTAGTTAGTGATCATGGGGAAAACATGCATTTTTTTTTTTTTTTTTTTTTTTAAAAGATGACCGGTAATGGGATCTTAACCCTTAGCTTGGTGTTGTCAGCACCACACTCAGCCAGTGAGCTAACCGGCCATCCCTATATAGGATCCGAACCCGCAGACTTGGTGTTATCAGCATCGCCCTCTCCCGAGTGAGTCACGGGCCAGCCCTAAAAAATGCATTTTTAATTTGGAAAAAATTTGACAGTTAACATGGTTCTATTTACTTTGATTAGTGAAATAATTTGCAGAGGTGTAGAATCATTTTGGGCTCAAAACAGACTGAAAATGTGACCTGCCAAACCAAATTTAATAAACAGAATTGGCTGTCAGAGGTTTATAGGCAAAAATACCAGTTTTGAAATTAATCTTGTCTACTGGCAACCTTAGCTAGGTTTCTCAATGGATCTGAGTACTGAGCACTTCCCAGATGATTGGAATTATTCTAGTAGTTGAGGATGACAGGGAAATGCAGTGGAAGAGTTTCGGTAAAGGTGAGGATGAAATTGTGGTATCCTCTATCAAATCATCCTGTTCCTGTTTGCAATGTTTTTCTTTTTTCTGCGTCCCTTTGGGAATCAGGTGCTTACAATAGGCTGCTGCGTGTGGCATTTCAGAGCCTTAGCTTAACGATAGAAAGGACCAAGTATCATTTAGATGTCTTTTGTTTATGCTCTTGGTGCCATGTGTCGACTTTAATTCCTTTTTTCCCCCCTGTTAAGGGGCTGTGGAAGTTAGCTCTGCAGAAGATATTCAGGCCCAGCCACCTCACTCTCTGGGATAGCTACCGATTGGGGACAGGGAATGTCCATCCAATGCTCCCTTCAGAGTATATAGATTCCCCTCTTTATTTGGAAACTGTTTAGGAGTTATTTATTATTATTATTATTTCTGTAGAAGTTATCATTCCCACCCAAAAAAACCTCTAATACAGGCCAAGTCATTTTTGATGATGGGGTCTCTGAGACAGGGTTTGTTGGAGGAGAGGCTGGGGTAGGGAGGGAGAGAAGGGAAATGTCTTAAAAAAGAGGTGGATAGGGGCCGGCCTGTGGCTCATTCGGAGAGTGTGGTGCTGATAACACCAAGGCCACGGGTTCGGATCCCTATATAGGGATGGCCGGTTAGCTCATTGGGTGAGTGTGGTGCTGACAACACCACGTCAAGGGTTAAGATCCCCTCACCTGGTCATCTTTAAAAAAAAAAAAAAAAGTGGGTAGGAAAAAGATATTTATTTTTGTTTACTTGGAATAGAACTTTCAGTATCCCAAAGAAGGGAAATAGGATTTGATCTCCATTTGTATTGCCTTGAGGAAAATGGTAGGTCAGGATGCCATGAAGTAGTTAGAAATTAAATATTGAATGCATTAATGGAAATATCATTCCATGATTTTCACATATCTTTTTGGATCAGTCATGGAAGGGGAAAATGTAACTTAGATCTGGATTAGGGGATTCCAACTGGCTTATTGGCAAGATTGCATTATTGAGAATCAAATAAGACAAGTGGATCAGAGTTGGTGCTTGAGGGGACACTTGGAGATTAGGACATTTATCTTCGTTAAAATAAAGCTGCTTTAGCAGTATAAATATTATGTCAGGAATTTTGGACCCTGCATTTGTATTTTGGTACTAAGCCTTCCCTACAAAAAGAGAAAGAAACAAATTTTAATACTTCTGTTCAGGGAAATTAATTATAAATGTGTAACTGTGCATTCCCTTCCCATCACTACTTCTGTGGGATCTCTTATTGTAATGCCAGAGTTGAGGTCTCTTAATTGAAATATGGGAGAACTTGGCTTTAGGTTTTCTATATTTTGAACTCAGTGCCTTAAAAGATGTTCTTTTTCTCTGTCAGATATGCATTGTTATTTTTGACTTTGCCTTTACCCCTTCTTCAGTCTTACCATTGCATTATTAAAATTTTTGTGTCTGCTCAGTAATGTTAGAAATCTGTGTCATACAAAATGACTTTCTTTCTTTGTATCAATGTAAAAAAATGAATTTACCAAAGGGCTGTCCACTTGAAGTTAGGTATTGTATGACCAGGGTATTTGGTAAAAGTAATTTTATTTATCTTATTTTATTTTTTTTGGCAGCTAGCTAGTACTGGGATCCGAACCCTTGACCTTGGTGTTATAACACCCTGCTGTAACCAACTGAGCTAACCGGCTAGCCCAGGCCAGGGTATTTTTTTATACCCCTTTGCTGAGTGTATGTTAGTGTGTATGTTTATATATACATATAGATTTTCCCACTTTTTGTTTTTTTGAGGTTCACCTCTAAAGTACTTGGTATAGGGCTGGCTGGTTGCTCTGTTAGAGTGCAGTGTTATAAAACCAAGGTCAAGGGTTCTGATCCCCTTACTGACCAGCTGCCAAAAAACAAAAACAAACAAACAAAAAAAGCAAATAAAGTACCTGGTACAACCTAGAAATATTTTTTATTTCAGGAAACACATAGAGAGATTTTCTTTGGATTCACTGAATGGGCTGAGGAAGAAAAAGCATTACTTTGGCCCTTCTATGAGACATGTGCTGTAAGGGAAGTAAGGAGAAACCCGAAGAGTGAGGCCCTAGGGAGAGCCAATACCTGGCTTTATAGGGAACTTGTTTAGCATATAATATATGCTGAAAGATTCAGAGCAGTGTCAAGAAGAGAGATGAAACTGTCCCTCCACAGGGCAGGTCTCCTTTCTACTCCTATGGGAACTATTTTGAGTGGCAATTGTAAAATCTCTTGCACCTCTAACAGAAAAGAAAGCTCAGATAAAGGGCCATGGCAGAAGGAACAGACATTCTATACATCTACTTTCCTACTTTAGAAATCTCATCATTTTGGGCCGGCCCGGTGGCTCACTGGAGAGTGCGCTGCTTGCGAGCGCGGTGGCGCTCCCACCGAGGGTTCGGATCCCATGTGGAGACCGGTTCCCGCTCACTGGCTGAGCGCGGTGCGGGCGCAACACCGAGGGTCGCGATCCCGTTACCGGTCAGTAAAAAAGACAAAAAAGGAAAAAAAAAAAAAGAAATCTCATCATTTTGAGAAATGATCATTTTGAGAAAGCTTGTATAGCTTTCTCCTAACAACATTATGGATCTCCAGAGCTAGAAGATTTGAGGCATATATTGAACTCTTCCTAGAAGTTTAATACTGAGTGGGAATCAGTTTTTGTCCTAATTTATTGGAGAATGGCTTTCTGTTCTCTACTCCTTGTGCAGACCCATCTCTGGATGGCTTGAAAAGGAGCTTTTAGAATGGAATACATGTCAAGACCACCGGTATGTGCTGTAGGCTCTTATCTATTTCCATTTTATGAGATGAATATTTCCTTTTTCTGAGTTAGTACTCTATTTCCTATGCCAATTTATTTAACAAGAGACTAGGAGCAAGAAGTATATGAATTAAAATTAAATAGCTTTGAGCCTCTGGTGCTGCCCTTTTTTAATTTTAATTTTTATTTTTTAGTCTTTCTAGGATTAGGGAGTGGGGTAACATTCCTGGACTCTACAATAGCAATTTGGCTTGTTAATGGCTGGAAATTATGATTCCCTATCCCCCGCTTCCCCACTTCTCCCACACATACTATTTCTGCTTCTGTCTTCCCATTCTTATCTCATTGAGTCTTTCCCAGGCACTAAATTTAATTAGACAAATTATACTCAAACTAGTAGATGCCCTGGGAAGGCAATCAACATTAGGGCTAATAAAAAGCTTGAATAGTATAAAAGGGCTGGAGGAGGTATTGTAGAACCTTTCTAGCACTTATGAGAGGTAAATTAACACCAATTGCTAAACATAGAAACTGGATAAATTTCAATATTCATTTAGAAATTAATTTTATGATGCTGTCCTAAGTATTAAAATACAGGTTATACTTAAATCATTCAAAGTTTGGCATGTTCACACATGTGCACAAAGTATTTGATAGATATTTACACACTGGGAGACACAATTATGGTCTGACTTTGGAGTTTTGGCAGATCTGGGTTCAAATTCTGGCAAGTTTCCCTACTAGCTTTTTTTGGGTGCGTGTGATCCGAACCCTCGGGCGGGAGCACCGCCGCGCTTCCCAAGCGGCGCACTATCCAGTGCGCCACCGGGCCGGCCCGATTAGTAGGTCATTTCTAATCTTTGGACCTCATCCTTTCTCTCTCCACTCCCCTCATTTCCTACCACGTATTTTCTTTATTCTGAGGTGGTTTGTTTCTGAGAATTTATTGAGGTCACACCCTATATCCTGTGCTCCCCAGTTGATTTCAGGCATCTTGTTCTATCAACAATAATAGTAGCAACTCTCTTCTCTGACTTTGCCCCATGTATTCCTTCTGCCAAGGCCATTTGTGTGTTTTGGGAGCAGGAGTGGGCGTGGGAGCCAGTAAGGGGACCTTAACCGTTGGCTTGGTGTTGTCGCTCTCCCAAGTGAGCTAACTGGCCCAATCCCTACATAGGGATCTGAACCCATGGCCTTGGTGTTATCAGCACCACACTCTCCTGAGTGAGCCACGGGCCGGCCCAATTAAGGTTTTTTTTAAAAGATGACCAGTAAGGGGACCTTAACCGTTGGCTTGGTGTTGTCGCTCTCCCAAGTGAGCTAACTGGCCCAATCCCTACATAGGGATCTGAACCCTTGGCCTTGGTGTTATCAGCACCACACTCTCCTGAGTGAGCCACGGGCCGGCCCTGCGCCTAGATTCTTACAATGTCTTCAGTTTTTCATGTTATCTGACAGCTTTATGTACAGTATGTTTTTAGGAAAATTTAAATATACTTTATACTTCTTTTTTTCTATTTAGTATAAAATAGGGTTTGATTCTGATGAGTGAGTTTGTGTGTATGGATGAGCGTTTATGTGTTTATATACCTATACAGATCTATATTATATATACAGTTTTTGTACTATCATTTAAAATAAGGATGTTTCTTAATAAAACATCAAAGTCTTACCATTTCAGGGTGTCATTGAAGTTTTTTCTATCTTCTGGGCAAAAATTTTTATCTACTCTTTAATTACAGATAAACCTCAAGAGCAAGTTTTCCCTGTCCAACTGAGCTAACTGGGGGAGAGATTGTGGAAGAGATCTAACCCATTCACACCCGCTGCCTTTTCCTTATGTCCAGCTACCTCTCTTAGCCTGGTATTCTTGACAGGTAGAGGAAGTTGTGGTAAGAACTGAAATAGAATGGAGAGAACTTTTGACTGGCTTGTTAAATGTACATTTTTCAGCCTTCTCTCATCCCCAACACCCTTCCTTGAAAGCAAACAACCAGGGGAGGAGAATAGTAGCTGCCGTAAATGATTCTGTACCTTTTGTGGGAGTAAAGTCAACGCTGAGATGTAGGGAGAAAGAAAAACATCAGGTTCAGGAAGGCTTGGAAAGAGTGGATTTTCTCTGCTGGCTTTTCAGCTATTCTTAGTTAATAAGGTATTTGCTGCTATCTCAGTCCAAATTCAGCACACGTTTATTAAGTAAATACGAGGAGCAGTCTAGTAGCAGCACAATCCCCAATGATAGCCTGTGTTGAATAGACCAGTTTAGCTAGCTAGATGGATGTCTCCATCTAGTTTATAGTGTTCTCAAAAGCTGCTCCACTGGCAACAATATCTAAAAAATGAGAATGATACCAAGGGCAAAGATATATAAAGAACAACTACGATCTCCAAGCAAGCTCTCAAAGTCAATACCTAGGAAATTGAATACCTACCATGCACTATGCTACATGTAGATAATTGGTTTTTGGTAAATACTCACGTATATAGTAAACAAATACTGTGCACATATTAATTACAAGGTACTTCTGGCAGGTGCCTCATAAATGTAGTACAGTCTTTGCTGAGGGAAAAAGAGCAAAAAACTGAGGAACCTTGAGAAGCAAAGAACTAAGTCTTGCTGAATTAAAATCTTGCTTAGAGAAATCATCAGGAAGATAGGAAGGTTGCAAGGAACTGGAGAAATGGGAACCCGTGGCTCACTTGGGAGAGTGTAGTGCTGATAACCAAGGCCACAGGTTCGGATCCCATATAGGGATGGCTGGTTCGCTCACTGGGTGAGCGTGGTGCTGACAACACCAAGTCAAGGGTTAAGATCCCCTTAACGGTCATCTTTTAAAAAAAAAAAAAAAGAAAAGAAAAAAAAAGAAATGGGAACCTAAGAATTTTCTGATGGGTGAGATATATATATATATATATATATATATATATATTTTAAACGATGACCAGTAAGGGGATCTTAACCCTTGACTTGGTGTTGTCAACACCACACTCTCCCAGGTGAGTGAACCGGCCATCCCTATATGGGATCCGAACCTGTGGCCTTGGTTATCAGCACTACACTCTCCCAAGTGAGCCACGGGCCGGCCCTCTGATGGGTGATATTCTTAAATGATGGGAAAAAACATAAACTAGGACAGCTTTCCTAAGATTTTCTGTGAAAGAGAGCCCTCTACTCCAAGGAGATCAATAGGTAGACAAGAGAAGGTTGAACTGGGAGCAACCTAGTGATAACTACATCTATGTAGGGTTTATGCAAGATATCTAATAGGTAATAGAGTAAATAAAGACTATAAGGGACCCCTGAGCAAAAGTGTGGGGCTGCACTGTGCTCCCCAGTCCTAAAGTTTAAGAGTTATTATTGTAAGGAAAATTGATGTTTGGGAGAGGGCCAAAATTATAAATAATAATAGTTATGATGCTTTAAGCTTTTGCTACATGTCTGGCAATGAGCTAGGCCCTTTGCGTACATGCACATATCTTACAAGGTGGGTATTATCCTCATTATACAGTTGCAAAAACAGGTTGTTATTTTACCTAGTCACACAACTTGTAAAAATTGTTCCCCTTTCTACTACTATAGTTTCTACATTGAGTTACTAGTGTTCTTTCCTCTGTAGTTTACCCTTTAACCAGAATACTGTCTTATTCACTTGGCTTTGGACAGCTTAATTCATCTCAGATTGCATTTAAGAAACTGGGAAGAAGAAACTTCTCCAAACAGCCTTTCCTGCAAGCTCCTCAGAGTAAAATTTGCTCCAAAACTAATTCAGGGGGCATCTGCATAGAGTTGCTGGCCAGCAATACTTGAGCAAGGAGAGTCAAAGATAACCACTCTTGGAGGGAATAAATGGGATCTTCATCTCTAGGTATGTTGGATGTCGTCTGTCTTTCCTTCCAGATTACTCTCCTCCCTTCTGCATCTTGTTCTCTGTCCTGGGAGGCTCCCCTATATGAACTTCATCAGTGGGCTCCCTGTGGTTTGGCTTCCAGTTGGATTCAGTCAATAGGTAGCCCTGGCAGGAGACTGGAGGGAGAGAAAAGACTAAAATCAAAAAACTAACTTCCCAGGCTCCCTTCCTTGAGGTAATCTCAGCCTAGCTTTATCCCTTATTAAGTCGCTGCTCCTCTCAATGCATTCTCCCCCTCCAGGTCCCAATAATCACTAACTCCCTTTGTTACTAGTTTCCAATTATGGACCTATCCCTTGCCCATACCTTTTAAAAATAGCTCTTCCTTTTTTTTTTTTTTTTGGTTAGCCCTTATTTTGAGCACTTCATCTATTTCCTGTTGGGACCCTGTCCAACACATCTGGTAAAGGTAGAAACTTTTGGATTCATGGGCTTCATATTTAATTCATGTACTTGAACCTTACTCTCATACATATAACCTTAAATTCTTATGAGTAAACAATTCTGAAGGGTCAGCTGCAGGATTAAGTAGCAGATAGTGACTCATACCGGTGTTGTTCCCAAGCATGGGGTGGTGGCATCAAGGAGACACAAATCTGCGAGACAGTAATAGCTCAGGCCCCTGTGACTTGCCCCCAAAGATCCCAAGATGCTGAACAGCTTTTCAAGCTTTGTGACTGTGGAACCTTCTGTATTTCAGGTCCCCAAAGCCTTACACAAGCTGATGGACTCGGCCTGCTGGGGCCCTGGTTTCTCCATAACCTCCCAGGATGCCTCTGAAAAATCAGCTTAGAAATCCCTGAGGATGAGAACTCTGTCCTCCTGTTGGCACATTCTGGTTTTTCTAAAGACAAAGTATGAGCTAATATTCTGACTTTTAAAAAAGACGATGAGCAGATTCCTTGAGGTCATGTTTATTCCTCTATTGTTAGCAATAATTTCTTTGAATTCATCCCCTTAATTTATTATTCACTATTCTCTGTCAGGAAGAGGTATTTCGTGAGTATTAATGAACTGCACACTTGGTAATAGTCTACTTTATTTTGGGCAAATAACCGTTTCCCACAAAGCATCTAATTTATACCTATATATTTAGATGGTGCTTTACAAATCCCTCTTGGCATATGTTCTTTTCATTCCTTACTTACAAAAGAAACTGAGGGACTGACCAGTTAGCTCAGGTGGTTACAGCGTGGTGCTGATAACACCAAGGCCCAGAGTTTGATCCCAGTACTGCCAGTCACCAAAAAAAAAAAGAAAGAAACTGAGGCTTGGAGAGGTTAGTTGAATTGCCAAGGTCACATACAAAACAAGTGGTAGAGGGCCGGCCCGTGGCTGACTTGGGAGAGTGTGGTGCTGATAATACCAAGGCCACAGTTTCGGATCCCATATAGGGATGGCTGGTTTGCTCACTTGGGAGAGCGTGGTGCTGACAACACCAAGTCGAGGGTTATGATCCCCTTACCGGTCATCATAAAAAAACCCAACAACCAAGTGGTAGAATTCAGGGCTGTTTCTCTCACTGAAACATAGTTGTTTCTACTAGCTCTGAGAATCCAGCTTAAACACTCTTGGCTAGAGAAGTCACATACTCATAAATACTAATAAATGAACATCCTTTACAATGAAACTACAACCAGAACTTTAACCTGTAAATTCCTGCTGCCTGCCAAGAGTCACACGATTAAATTTCCATTGTATGTATTTCACTTTAGGGTCTCTATTTAAACCTGAGGATCATTTACCCCTTTTGCTTGTGACCACCTTCAGTTTGTGAGGTTTGTCCCTCAGAGGACTGTGAAAGGCTGCAGACTTGAAATTTTTCTTTGCCCTTGATTGAACATCTTGGTTTGAAGAGGATAATGAAGTCAGATGACTGGAAAGATTCTCCACTCCTTCCTTGCTTTCCTCCACTATCTAGGAAACTAGCAATGGCCCCAAAGCATCTTGGTTTAAGTAAGGCATCCAGTGAGGGGAAAATTGAGACCTAAAAGACCACTCCAACTTGCTGAAACAAGCTTCAAGCAAGAAGAGATTAGACTCTGAAGGACAACGAAATTTGACCGAACAAGCTTAACTGAGATGTGAAGAATGTTCAGAGGACATTAAAAAACCGCGAGGGTAAAATCTGTAAATGAAGGATACAAAGGGAAACGGGTTGCCTAGTAAAAGCAGATTGCGAAATTAGGAATAGCCAAAACCTGAGCTTGGAGTAATCACTATCTCACAAGGTACCATGCTTCCTTTCTGTGTTTAAATTTAGGGGTGGGAGGGGAGCAGCTGGCTGGTATGGGGATCCGGACCTTTGACCTTGGTGTTATCAACACCGCAACTCCAACCAACTGAGCTAACTAGCCAGCCCATATAAGTGCTCTTTAAAGAAGGGAGCACGTTAGCTCGGTTGGTTAGAGCAAGGTGTTGGTAACACCAAGGTTAAGGTTTCGGATCCCCGGATCCCCGTACCGGCGGCTGCCCTCCCCGCGCCGCCCAAAAGGCGTTTTCACATTTATAGTACTTCAGCCTCTAGAAACGGAGGCTTAGGCTTGTCACGGTCACAAGTAGTACAGAAACAATCTTAGGGTTCTTCACCAAATTGTACCCAGCAGTTTTCCGCCGAGGACATTTAGGTAGCGAACCGGGAGACGGACTGGTGAGGTTTCTGTAGCTGCAGGGCTTGGTCTGGCCTCCAGGCGGCGCCGGCGGGAGCGTGGCCTAGGGCCCCGAACTGGGCGGATACCCAGACCACGAGCCACAGAAAAAACCCGACTTGTAGAGCCGCAAAATCAGCCACTGCGGCCGGGAGGCCTTAAACGTCCTTAGCGGGAGAGTGGTAGGCGGGGCAGGTGGTCCTGTTCGTCTCTTTCATTGGTCCCCGGGGTAACGGACAGGTATCTGCAGCCAGTCCCAGCCAGAGCAAGGGAGCATCACCACAGCCACAAGTTAGTTGATCCCGGCGCGTGGGTTAGGGTGCGGCTGCGAGGCTCCTAGAGGGGAGGCTGCGCATGCGTGCGATGGACAACGCTTTCTAGCCACCTCCCGGTACCAGAATGGGAGTTAGCTGGGCAAACCTTTGCTTCCGACAGGGCTGAATCCTTTGCTGTTTGCTGCAGCCTACACCTCGTGCGACCCAAACTCTTCCAGCCAAATTCTCTTTAGGACAAGACTTACTGATGTGAAACTTCAATCACTTACGCTGCAGCTTCGCTTTATTTGTCCAAAAATTTCCTCCCCGCCCCCCAACCCCATCCCATAGAATAGGCCATGAAAAAGTCCCCTTACCCTCAATCCGAAAAGGTTCTCCTAGTGCCTTCCCCAACCCCAACTAAACTCTACCGTGAGTCTCCTGGGCCCTGGCTCATCTCCACACACAATTTCTTCGCTTGCCTCCTTCAGGAAACCTTTCCTGATTAACCCCGGTGGGACTGTAGCCATCCCAATTACTCGGGAGAGAGCGCAAGGCCAAGATGAAGGCAGAAGGCAGATTTAGGGGCACAGTTAGCCAGAGCGAGAGCAACCGATTCCCGCCCTTCCCCCTCCCCTACCGCGAGAAAAGTCAGGCAGCGGCTCGAGGACACAGCTGTATTGGGAAGCGGGGGCTCCTACACAGTAGGAGGAGGCACGTCCCAGTCCCAGGAGGCCCGAGAACTCTGTACACAACGCGTGTGTGGCCCCAGCCCCGTCCGTCCATCCGCCGTGCGGACCGCCCGGGACCCAGTTTATAGAGGAAGCCCGGAGGGGCGAGTTAAGGCAGCATGGCTGGAAGGAAGGGGGGAGTGGGAGTCTACCAGTTCCCCCGAAATGCTGGCTCACTGAGGGGACGAGCTTCTCACCTCCCACTCCTCTCTCGAGGACAGGGAGAAGGCCAGTCAGTCGACAGTCAATAAATAAACCCGAGGCGAGAAGGGTCACCGGGAGACTCTGAGTCCAGGAAGGCTGGAGGTGCGGGACAAGAGAGGGGGAGGTGATCTGCTCTTGGAGAAGTGTCCTTGCTCACGGCCTTTGGGCGCATGGGACTCAAGGACCCTATCTGAGGCTGTGGAGCAGCTCCCTTTAAAAGTTAAAATGGCTGCTGTTACGGACAGCCGGGTGGGAAGGGGGACCGACGAGGGGAGGCTTCGGGGACAACTGGGGCTTCTCGATGTCCACTCTCTTCAGGGCGCGGCCCCGGTACCCCTCGGGCCGGCCAAGGTACAGGTGTCTCCCGGGACCCCCCGAGTACCTGGAGGGGCCTCCCGAGGGGATTCGAGTGAGCAGGGCGGGGGGTGCACGATGGGTGGAGAAGGGCAACCTTCGGCTGCCCCCGACGCCCAGCCGGGGAGCGGGGGCTGACAGCGCAGGACGAGCGGAGGGCGCCCAGCCGGGGAGCGGGGGCTGACAGCGCAGGACGAGCGGGGGGCGCCGCGCACTTCCCCTCCGGAGGAACATCCAGCCGCAGAGGCGGGGCACACTCCCGGGGGAGGAGGCTGGAGCCCGCAAAGAGGGTGGGGTTGGGGGCAGGCTCTGGCGGGAGCGCCCGCGAGGTAAAAAGGGTCGAGGCCGGGGGCTCGGCCCCCTTCCTGGGTGGCTGCGGGCCGTGCAGGTAGCGCAGCAGTTCCTCCAGGGTGGTGACTTCCACCGCCTGCCCGGGACAGCCAGGCGGCGGTGGCCTCACCAGCACGCGCGGCGCGGCACCGCCCGCCGCGTTCCCGCCCCGCACGCGGCCCAGGCCCTCCTTGGCGTTGTTCCCGTTCTGGTTCCACTCCCAGGGACCCCCAGCGGCGCGCAGGTGCTTGACCGGCAGCTCGGGCGTGGACTCTGGGGTGGGCAGGCAGGCCAGCTCCGGCGGGGGCACGCCCTCGGGGGGAGGCAGGAAGGTGGTGTAGAGCTGCGGCGGCTGCGCGGTGTCTCCGTCCTTGGACGGCGGCGCGGGTTCTGGGCCCCCACCGTGTAGCCGAGCCAAACTGCGAAGGGACAGAGGGCGCGGGAGCCCCGGGGTCTCGATGTCCTTGCTCCGACGTCGGTGGGCGCGGTGACAAGCACAGGAGACCAGGAGGCCAGAGACAGAGGCGCCCAGGGCGAAGGCTGCGGCCACACTGGCCAGGAGGAGTGGGATGGGGACGGAGCGGGAGGCCGAGGCTGCAGGGAAGTCCCGGCGCACGCCTGCCGACCGAGAGGGAGGAGGGAGGCTCAGCCTAGGGTAGGCGGTGCGCGGCGTGGCGCTGGGCCTAGAGGGCGCGCGATGGCAAGTTCCGAGGTTTGACAGGTCTCCTGCTGTTATTCAGCTTCACTCCACACAGCCTTGACCTTCCTCACGATGCACCTGCCCTGACCCCTCAACACACACAACCCATCACACTAACCCTCACACACAGGCTAGAACTTGGGCCTGGGGAGTCCCCATCCCAGTTCTGATCCCTGTAGCCATGCCAAGAGCAACTGCCAAACTGCCAGTGCAGAAAGAGGCCAGGTGGGGATGCCCAGCTCTGGGGAGAGGAGGCTGCAAACAGGCGTTAGTGAGCACCAAACACGGTCAGTGAGGGGCTTAGAATTCTCCAAGAATCAGCAGCCCCACACTTCACTCCTGTCCCTCCCAGGTAGCCCCCTTACCCTGAGTGTGAGCTCCAAGAGTGGAAGACTGGGGCCGGGGGCGGGCATCACTGGGGGGACTGGGGATCTCAAGGGAAGGGCCAGGACCCAGAAGCACTGGTGACAGAGACCAGGTCAGAGCCAGTGAGGCTCCTGGTCTCCACCCCTGATACCCATCCAGGGGTCCTCCCCCTCCCTTCTTTGGAACTTGAGTCTAGAACTCTGGCCTCTACTTCCCTCTGGACATGGGGAAGGGCTCACCATGCAGGACATTCTTTCATTTATATGTTCAAAGATTATTTATTAAGCACCCTACTGTGTGCCAAGCACTGAGCTATATGATGGGTATTTGGAGGATGCTGACCCTTTTCTGAGACTCTCAGGGTGTTCAAGGTGCTGGCCTGTTGCAGCCATGGGGCACACACTTGGGTGTGTGGGCTAAACAAGGGAAGGTGAGGTTGGGACAAGAGGACTCACCATAAGCAGGATCCCCGGGGCCAGACTGACTCCCGGTAGCTCCATCTGTAAAGAAGGGAGAGAGACGGGGTGAAGATGGGGGCAAGGGGAAGCTTCATGAAGAACTGATGGAGGTGACTGTGCTTCAGAAGGAGAAAAAGACAAAAGCTCATGCCTGGAATGGTGTTTTGTTTGTGGCCATCAGAAACATGTGTAGCCCGGCTGCAGCTGCAGCTGCCCCTTCTGCTTACCTTGGCAGTTACCATGTTCCATGGATTCCTGGTCCCCAGCCCTATCCACATCAGTCCTAGGAGGAAAAGGAGGTGGCTCAGTGCAGTTCTATACCTTGTCCCCATTTCCTACCCTGCCCTTCAGCTTCCTGTCTTAGTGGTGGGGAATTTTATCCTCAGGAGATCCAGGGGTTCCTCACTTACCCACTAGGTCCCCTGATATCCACACAGCCTCTGGAGCTATGCCATCCACAGTATGGGTCCTGAGAAGCCAGACAGCTCCTAGGGAAAACAGTCATGTGCAGCTGGGACACCCCAACTCCAGTCACATTCCATTCTTCTGCCTCTTCTACTCACATCCTGGCTTACAGGAGGCTCCCAGCCCCATATTCTCATCCCATCCACCCCAGTCTCCACTCCAGACCCTGGCTGCTGCCCACCTTCAGAATGCTTGAGGTAGCCCCCCCATCCTAACCATCCCCTACATTTTCCTGCCACCCCCAAGATCTGTGTTTCTGTACTCCTGCTGGCCCAGGAAGCTTGCCCAGGCAGGACCTGGCCCTCAGGCCCCTCACCTCTGACAGGCCCCATGACGGGTGCAATGGCTGAGAGGGAGGTAGACGATACAGCCAGGAAAAGCCACAAAGAGCCTATGACCCTCAGTGTCCAGCTCCAGCCCTATGATCCGTCGTGCAGTTTGGGCTGCCCGCTTCCCACTGCACCTAGAGTGAGGCCACAAGGAATCAGAGATAGGGCAGGTGAGGCTACCTTTTCCCTGGGCAAGTTGAAGAACAGAAGGTGGGAAGGCACACAAACAATTGAGCACAACCCATGGAATCACTCTGCCCCACCACACTGTCCAGTCTTCTCGCCAAGCCCTTGTCTCTACCAAAAAGCTTCTGCCCTGCAAAAGCCAGTCTTGGAGTTCTCAGCCCATTTCCACATCCCCATCTACCACCTCCCATCCCATCCCTGCCCTGCAGGAGGCCTGCCCTCCGAAGGCCTCACCCACCGGGAGGGGCTGTAGGCATCAATCTCTTCCAGTAGGATGGGCTCAGTTCCCCCAGATCGCCCCCCTGGGGGCAGCACCTTCAGCACTGTCCCATCATTGGAGCCAAGGAATAGGACGGTGGTATTACCGTGGGGACCAGCCATGCCATCCACAGCAACCTGGGTCAGTAGGGCCCTGGAGGAATAGGCCTCAGGTCAGGATATCCTGTCTAGTGGAGGCCTGAGCATTTCAAGGAGAGCCCAGGTTTCCTGGTGCCCACTCCTGCCCCCTTCTCTCACACCCCAGAGTTCCCTTCTTAGCTCTCTCCCTTCTACTTTCATGAGTTCTTCCTCCCACCAATGTGATTTACTTTGTGGGGTCAGAGAAAGTGAAGAGTGGTAGAGGAAGAAGGGTGGAGGTCAGTGTTTTTTAAAAGATGACCAGTAAGGGGACCTTAACCGTTGGCTTGGTGTTGTCGCTCTCCCAAGTGAGCTAACTGGCCCAATCCCTACATAGGGATCTGAACCCATGGCCTTGGTGTTATCAGCACCACACTCTCCTGAGTGAGCCACGGGCCGGCCCAATTAAGGTTTTTTTTAAAAGATGACCAGTAAGGGGACCTTAACCGTTGGCTTGGTGTTGTCGCTCTCCCAAGTGAGCTAACTGGCCCAATCCCTACATAGGGATCTGAACCCATGGCCTTGGTGTTATCAGCACCACACTCTCCTGAGTGAGCCACGGGCCGGCCCAATTAAGGTTTTTTTTAAAAGATGACCAGTAAGGGGACCTTAACCGTTGGCTTGGTGTTGTCGCTCTCCCAAGTGAGCTAACTGGCCCAATCCCCTATATAGGATCCGAACCCGTGGCCTTGGTGTTATCAGCACCACACTCTCCTGAGTGAGCTACAGGCCGGCCCCGAGGTCAGTATTTTTAGCCCAATACCTGCTAGTGAGAGTGAGGAGAGGCTGATGGGTGGCAGGTGGCACGGCAGGGTCCAGCAATGGGTGAGCCTTTATGAAAGTCAGGACATCATCAGGGAGGTCTCGAGAAGAGGAGAACAAGGCAGCTCCACCTATTCCTGCACAGGATCCTGGCCTGGTGGGTACAAGAAGCCTGGCCTTAGTTCAGCTCTGTCCCCCACGGCTCCCAAAATGATTAGTAACCGTTGCTCCCCCTCCACACACTGCTTCCCTTCCCTGTTGCAGCTCTTCAGTCCCACTGCTAACTCACTGTAACTCCCTCCCCAGCCTCAGACACCTGACCCCCTCCTCACAATCCCATCTTAGAAGAAGACACTGCTTGCTTCTGCCCCCACAAAAGCCACCTCCATCCTGGGTACCTGGGTGAAGGGACCCTGTCCTCAGATACAGAAGTCCAAGCCCCATCCAGACTCCTCTGCTCCTTGAACTTGCCCTCAAATCCATGCTCAATATCATCAAGGTAGAAGGCACAGACTGCAGAGCCAGGGATGCTGGGGGATCCAGAAAGATGTGGAATATGTGTTGAAAGAGACTGCATGGCTCCTCCCAGGTAAGAAGTGGTAGCTACCCTTCATGCACCACGTTAGGAGGTAGAGACTGAGGGGATAGGGCAGCCACTGGGTGCCACGCTAGGAGAAAAAAGGTAGGCAGACAGCAAACTGACTTTGCTTGGAGATTCCCATCACCGCCGCCATCAGTAGGCTTTGAGAGGGGAGTTTGGATGCTGGTAGGGCAGGGGACAGATCGAGCCATACTGATCAGCCTAGTACCAACCTATTGGTCTGAGTGGTGAAGACCCCAAAGAGAGCAGAGTGGCCATGCAGGTTCACAGGCCCAGTCAAGGCCTGTAAGACGTCAAAATAGAAGGTAGAGTCCCCAGGAACAGAGCAGTTGAGCCGCAGCTTCAGGAAGGATGTCCAATGGCGGTCCAAGGCCCGAGGTGAGCCACCCATGTCACGTTTACATACACGGGCTACTCGGGAGAACTGTACCTGGGGGAAGCAAGGGGGGAAGAGGACAGTGAGAGAGCTACAGGGCCAGCTGAGTGAAAGGCACATGGTAAGTTAAAAGCACCAGGAGACAAATGTTAGGGTCACAGCAAACAAAAGGTATGTTGTGGTAGGTCAATTTGGGCCAAGGATGAGGGACACAGCAGGATGTGGAGGCAGAGCGGGGGCGGCTATTCCAAGTTGGGGGCTCAGAGGCCAGGGGATTATATTGTGCAGGTTACAGTCAGGAGCTCTTCTCTGACTCAGACTGGCTCCTCAGGATCCAGCAGAACCCTCCAGCTACCTACCCCTGGTGCCCACCTCCTTACCCTCCCCAGCCGGGCATCCTCCACAGAGACCTCTCGGAAGAAGAAGTAGACATGGTCTCCATGTTCCAAGGCATGGACAAAGTGTGGCTCTAAGGTGGAGAGTGACGAGAAAGGATATGGAAGAGTATCATCTAAACCTGCTCAGAAACTCCTGGTCCCACCCCATCTCTCCCCATTGGGTACATACACATTACCACACCATCTGCCTGCCCCTCTCCACAGTCCTCCCTCTGCACCTCCTCCCCAAGAATGGTTTCCCTCCCCCAGGCCCACCCTGACCTCTGAGCCACTTGGAGTCGTACTTGGCGGAGCGGAGTGGGGGCTGGGGCCCAAGGCTTCTGTAAACTACAGCATCACTAGCCTGGAAATCCGCAGCTGTGGCTGAGTACAGGCTGCCCTCTGGAGGGATGCATAGCGTGGGGTCAGGGGAGGGCTCAGGGATCTGTATCCTACCTCTTCTTGGGCCTTCCACACCCTGCCTAGTTCTGGCCCTGGTCCCTACCTCAACCCTCCACTCAGCGGCATGGGGGAAAGACCATGCTGGGAGAGGAACTTAGGTGGGAGCTCCCTCCAGCCATTTCTCACATGCCTAGGTGCACACCTGCAAAGATGGCCACGTTGGACTGGGTGGCATCAAAGGGGCATCGAGCCTTCCCACTCAGCTCCTCACCCTCCTGCTGCAGCGAAGTTATCTGGGGGCAGAGGGAGCAGTTTCCTGGAACCTTTGGCGTCTTGGAGTCTGGCTCCATAGCCCACTCCCTCATGTCCCCTTGCATCCTTCCCTGACCCCTTCCAGACCTCTGCACTCTGGGCACTCCCATTCCCTGACCCCAGTTCCTGGTCTCTTCCCATCAAAGTGATTACCCATCTTGGTTCTTCCCCCAACTCCCATCCTGACCCCCACCCTCTCCTTTGTACCCCATAGCTGCGGCACACAGGGCTGAATGAGTTCGTCCCACAGGCAAGGAGCGTCTGGGAGTCCCAGGGAACGAGAACACGAATGTAGTTGTAGCACTCGTCCTAGAGAACCCAAAATTCTAAGTCAGTGACAGGGACTAAGACTGGGACTAGGGGGGTCACAGGAATTAAGCCTAGTACTCTTGAGCCAGTCTGAGCAATGAGGGATAAAGTCCCAGCTAAGCTATTAGCTAACCTCACTTTTCTTTTTTGTGAGGCATGTAAAGGAAACTAAAAATCATTAATTTTCTTTTTTTCCCATTTTCCTCTGTGGCATGGGATGGGAATGGGTAGGAAATTGGGCATGGTAGAGGACAACTTGGACAAAGCCTGGAGGTGGGCAATCCTCTCCTTCCCTCCAAATTCTCATTCCACTCCTCACCGTCAGCTTTCCCCGTACAGCACAGTTCTCCACGTCTTGGCTCTTCCATGTTAGATACTGAAGGGAGAAGAGGGAAAATCATGTGGCAACCTGGACTCCTTCTCACACTGTGGCTCCTTTTGGATGCTTCCTCCCACCCGTTTGATCCTATTAGAGCTTTCCCAGCCTCATCCCCATGCCTGTACCTCCTCCCACACAGCCCCTCACCTTGTTGGGCACCAGCCCCTCCCCTTCTTCTTGGGCTTGAAGATCAAAGGAGAAAACGTGATCCCTGAAGGGGTAGGTAAGGAGGGATCAGAGCCAAGCCAAGGCACCCCACCTGAGCTCCTTAGCTTCCACCTTACCCATGGTCAGTTGCTCAGGGACAAACAGTGCAGACCTCCTGCCTCCTCCCCCAACCTCCCCTTACTCCATGCCTTGGCATTTATGCTCTGGGTCAAAGAATGTCCATGTCCCATGGCTTGTGCACCTGCACGTATCCCCTGCAAGATGCTGCAGTGCCCGTGCAGGTCCCATGTCTGCCCAGGGGCATGCATGTCTGTCCCACAACTGTGCCATGGTCAGTTTACCGGGCAGCCACTAGCAGGGTCCGGTTCAAGGTCAGGAATCTCTGAAAGTCCAGTCCAAGTTCTGCAGCCACAGCATCATCCTCCAGGCCCCGGAACCAGGATAATGGGGAAACACCTAGTAGACACAAAGAGGTAGGGTGCTAAGGGCTAGCCAGGACACCACACACTTCCCCAACACCCTTACCAACCAGATGAAACCCAGCCATGGACAGAGTGTACATGTGAGGAGAGAGGTGCCCAAAAGATATTAATAAAAATAACACCAGTAACACTGAGCACTTAATCTCTGCGGAGCAGTGTTAGTACTTTAGAATTAGATGCACTGTCTCATGTAATACATCATCCCTGTGAAGTCATCACTAACATTGGCCCCATTTTGCAGATGAAGAGCCTAAGGCTCCAAGCCATTAAGGAATTTGAATAAACCCATTTAGCTTGGAAGTGGCAGGCACCAGACTGACCCCAGAACTGACCTCAGTTCCTACTTGGAACTGCCTTAGGGCTAGCAATTCCCATACAAGCCCCTGTACACTTGCAATTCCCACACAAACCCTTGTATACTGTCTCCTCTGGGGCATTTACTCACTTCCTCCTAGCCCTCTCTCTGCATCCTCCTCCCCCGGCAAGGCTCTTCACGGGCCACCTCAGCCCTCCAAGGTTTCTGCCTCCTCTGACCAAATACCTGACCTGATCATGGAAACCAGTCATCAGCTTTCAAAGGGAGCCCAGAGTTCAAGGGCAGGTTATTTAGCATTCACAAAGTGCTTAGAACTGTGTCTGGCACATGTAAGTGTTTGCTATTCTTATTTATCCTCCAACTATTACTTCCAATAGCCCAACTACAGTTCTTTCATCCTTAAAATTACTCTAAATCCTACATATGTAACAGGAACTGCAAATAGATAAAGGTTCTTAGAAAAATTTGGCTTGTGGTTTCCACCATGGTGGGTCCTAGCTTTATTGGTGGTACAAGTGGTAGAGAGGGAGGTAAGAGGTGTTGGAAACCAATGAACTAGTCCCAGGCCTTCATTTTGTAGCTAAGAATAAGAGCAAACACATATAAAGCATTTATGTTGTACCAGACAGTGCTCTCAGCACTTTACACTCATTTAATCCCTAAATAACTCCATGAGGTAAAACACTATTATTATCTTCATTTTGCAGATGAGGAGACTGAGGCAAGGAGAGGTTAAATAACCTAACCAAGGTCACACAGCTATTGAGCAGTGTAGCAGGAATTCAAACCTGGTAAGGTTTGGTCTGGCTGAGAGTCCATGTTCTTAACCACAAAATGACCTTCCTCTAAGTGAAGAAACTGTTCCCCTTTGCTGGTCAGGCTCTTCGCTTCTTTGATGCTGGGAGCTTTCCTACAACCTACCTCCAAGAGGGAGTCTCAGTCTGTAATTGCTCACAGAGAAGGGGCTAGGTAGGTACCAGGGCACTCACCTTGCAGGTCAGAGATAAACAGAGGAAGGGGGTCCTCAGGAAAGGTGGCCTGGCTATGGGGAAGTGACAGCAGCAGCAGGAGCAGCAGCAGCAAGGGCATGAGATGGGGAGCACGGGGCATCCTGGGTGGGGCAGCTCAGGCCCCAGGGGGTGCCCCCTCACCCATATGCTGGCCCTGAAAGAGGAGACAGAAAGAAGTGGGGGAATGGGCCAAGTTCCCTCCACCCTTACTGTGGGCAGGCTCCTCTCCTGGTCTATCCCCAGAAGACCCTTTGGGGTGGGGGAGAGAACTCTCTCTCCAGCACTTCCCAGTCCCAGCCAGATGTCACTGTCACTCAATGCCAGTCCCTCTCCAACTGTCCCAAACTGGCTGGTGTGAGGCCTGCAAGCATGACCCCAGGTAAGGACAGGACACTCCAGCTCCCCCTCCCAGTCTTCTCACTCAGCCCTTCCTCCTCTCTCCTGACTGGGTCTGGGACATTCGGTAGGTGACACCTCCTGGCCCTCCTCTTGCTAACTCCTTCTCAGCTATAATTAGACACTGAAGCCTTAAAATTATAAATAGTGACTCCTTGTCACTGGGAGGAGGAAGAGGGCACCACGTCTGCCTCCCCCTCCCTTGCAGACCCCCACAGCACCCTGGGAGCAATGCAGGCACTGTGCCCAGGCAGAGGCAGCTATGGCAACCGCAGGCCTCTCTAGGGTTGAGGAATAAAAAGTGGGAGATTGGGGAGTGGGCAACCTAGAGGTCAACACCCTGGTCTAAGCTCATGCTTCCGAGGCCCTTCCCACTGCTAGGGAAGAAGCTGGGTAGGGAGGGAAGTTTCGGAGGGGAACTGTCTTAGCCAAAAATGAATCTGCACCAAAGCCAGATCAGCAGCTAAATTTAGCTCTGGCTGCAGCTGTTTCCAGACCACTGTGCCCCCTCCCAGCCTCTCTAGCCCCCTGTTCCCTTCCCTCCCTGGCTCCTAAGAATCAGTGTATGTACTTGATGAGGGGAAGAACTGACCCACCCCCTATGAGGAGTTGGAGATAGACAGGACATAGCAAAATGGCTGAACATGCCTCTCTTTCCCTCTCTCATCAGGCTGCCTCTGAAATTGAAATATAAATAATTCAATAACAGGCAGGCAATTGTAGCCCAAAGTCCAGGAAAAGATGGATATGGTGGTAGGGGTGGTGAGACAGGCCTTCTTCCCACCCATCAACCTCCCTCAGCCAGCCAACCCTGGCTATGACCCACAGTGGGAGGTGCACCAGCTTCCTGCCTTCCCCTGAAATTGAAGTGAGGGGCTGAGTAGGCTCCGGAAATTAGGTCAGAAAGGCTGAGAATCCTTTCTTTTGTGAACAGATAACTATCCTTCACCAATCCTTAGTTGCCCATCCCAACATGTCCCCTAAAGGAGAGACCCTGGGCTTCCAGGCCCAGCCCCCTTCTATCTCCCCAATAATTTCACTCTTGGAGACAGGACTCAAGTATCCCTCCCACCCCCAAACCAGTGTCACTGGTGGGGAGATTGATATCAGGTGGGGTCCCAAAAGAACTGGAGGAGGGAAAGGGATAGGAACACCTAATGATGACCCCTTTCCCCAGGGGCAGAGTAGTCAGCTAGCTAATGACCCTCTGTTGTTGAAAGCCCGGGCCTCCTTCCCCTTGTCCCATGTTTCTGTATGCTGGTGCTCCCAGGGGAAGAGAAAGGGACACAGCTTGTCTTCTATTCCACCCCGCTCAAGTTGCCCTGGGCAACTGGTATCTTCACCTTGGAAACAACTTCAGTCTCTGGCAAGTGGGGAGAACAGCTAGACCCTCTTCCTGCCCCCTAGCCACGCCTGCTTCCATCCCTGCTCTCAGAGCTGCTTCCCTTTCTTTACCTGGGGTGGTGACTCCTGTGGGGGTGAGAAGGGGATAGAAGACCTCTGACCTGATGGAAGAAGGGACAAAAGGAGGGGAGAGACTGAGTTACGCCTCCTCTACCACATCCCTTAAAAGTAAATGTAAAAATTCAGGAAAAGTCTGCTAAAGCTAGGGGAGGAGGGATGCAGCCCTAGAAGTGGCAGGGGTGGGTTGGGGGATGACATTTAGTTTGGTTACAAAGGTTCTGGCAGCTCCATGCCCAGAGAGAGATGTGAGGGCAGGAGATGAAGATGGTCCCTAGCCAGAAACTCCTGGAACTGCAGGGCCGGCCTTAGGGAAAAGGGTGACTGGGAGAGTTTGTGGGGCATGTTGCCGCCGACCACTCCCATGTTAAAACCCTCAGAATCCAACAGTCTTCTCAGCAAAAGCGCCCTAGCTAGGGACAATAGAGGTGAATTTGCATATCATTTACATGCTCTTCATATCCAAGCAAAATGCTCCGATAGCAAGCACCCCCAGCCCCTTCCTTCTTCCTGAGAGAGCAAGCCCTGGCTCCCCCCCACCCCAATTCTTTGGGCTGGATTAGTCCAGACTCTAAAAACACTTGGCCTTTACATTGGGCCCCTAGACTCGACTATGATACATCTTTAAGAGGGCTTCCCATAGCTGTTTTGGGGGAGCAGCATCTGGGCACTCCCACTCAATCCCTGGCCTGGGGAAAGGGTTACTCTGCCCTGGAGGAATCCCAGCTGCTTCATACCCTCCTCTGAATCAAATGGAGTAGACCTGACCCCACTCCTTCTCCCCCTTCTAGATCCTCCCCTTGCTGTGAAGAAGAAACAGCCCTTTTCTCTCCTCCTGGCCACATTAGCCACCTCTGGGGAGTGGCCGGGGTCACAGCCAGAATCAAACGGAGCTGAGGAAGGGATGGCGAAGGGGAGACCCGGCTGGGGACAATAGCAGGAAGCCCTCGGGCTGGTTGCCCGCCCCAGTACACCTTCCTCAGGAGGAGCGGGGGGCGCGCCGAGGAGGCTTGCGGAAGAGGCGAGTTCCCTTCTCCAGGACATTTCTCCAACCCTAAGATTTCAGCCCCAGGCTCGGCACCTAACCTCCCACCCACCCATTCCCCAGCAAGAATAATTCAGGTGTCTAGAGCCTCGCTTTAGGTGGGTCTGGGGCCAGGGGCTCGACGTGTCTTCCCCTCACTGGATCCGGGGCTCCGATGAGGGGCGGTAGCAGAGTCTGGGCCGGGACCGGGTCCCAGAGCCACGTTAGCGAGAGGAGGGGCTGGAGGGGCCTGCAAGCGCAGACGGACTGGGCATGGGAGCGGGGGCTGGGGAGGGAAGGCGGGTCTCCTAGGCCAGGGAAACAGGGCCAGAGGCTGGGAACCGACGAGGGCGGGCCCGAGGCCGGCGCTGAGCGGGGTCCCTGAGCTCGGGATGCAGTCGCCAGCTCGGCTCCCCTTCTTGGGCGACTTCAGTCTAACAAAGCCCTGGGCCGAATGGGGTGAAGGAAGGAGATGGGCGCTGGAACCGATGTTTCTCGGGGGCTCCATTCCTCGACTCGGTGTCCAAGCCAATCCCCCGGGGGTGCTCAAACTCCCGTTTGCACAAGGACAGAGGTGCAGCCGTGACACCAAAGTCCAGAGCGACGCGTTCCCTTTCCCATCCCCGCTGGGGCATCGAGAGGGTCTAGTTCTCCGCGGGTCTCGGAGCCTTAGTTTCCCTGCGGGGGAGGTAAGGGACTAGGTCTTCCACCCCTCTGTACAGAGCGTGCCTCAAATAATTCCCTTTCGTGCTCCCCAATCCAGCGGGAAGCGCCTCGAAGAAAGCCCAGTCGGAAGAGGTGCCCAGACCCTGCGCCCAACAGTGCCGTGACAGGGCTCGGCCGCGGTTCCCTCCTCCTTCTGCGCACCCCAACTCCGCGTACCCTCAGCCAGCAGGCACACAGCGCGCCGGCACCCTCCCGGGACCCTCTAGCACTTCGGAAGCTTGCCCCCGGCCTGCGCCGCTCCCCGTCCTCCCCCGCCTCCCTGCAGCCCCGTCCCTGCCCCGGGTACTTGCTCCGAAATACGGGTCAACGGGATCGAGACCCTAGCGGGCTGCCAGCGGCCCCGCGCACCGCGGAGTTCGCAATCCGTGATTGGGGATCAGGCGAGATGTGAGGAGCGTCCGGACTGGATGGTGCCTGGACATGGGTTCCGGGGCACTGTGCTCGGGAGAGCCCTGGGTCCGAATCGCAGCCCCCTCTCCTGCCGCGGATCCAAGGAGGAAAACAATGCGACCGCCCGGAGCTCTGGGCTCGGCCCCGGCCGCCCCGCCCGCCTCGCAGCCGTACCCGCCTCCGGCCCGCCTCTGGGTCGCCGCGACTAATCCCGCCCTCGGAGGTCAACTAGATACCGCCTTCTCGTCACCTCTCCGCCAATAGCACTCCTCGGGGGAGGGGCGCCAGGAGCACAGTCCACCCAGAGAGCCAGGGTGAGCTGGAGACCAAAGGCAGGCGCGACAGGGAGAGACCTACGGACAGTCGCTGAGACCAGGACAGAGGAGGAGACACACACACGCAGAAACAGAGATAGTCTGACAGAGGAGAGACCCTGGGTTGAAGTATTACGGAAAGGAAAGAGCAGAAGCTGGGAGAAGAGACAGGAAACCCTGGGGGCCTTGGCTGGGCTGGGCCGTTAGAGCCTCTGCTATCCTCCCTCCTTTCCCCTCAATGACTCTGGCCACCCTGTTCCCTGGGGAGTCTCCCATCTCTCCCCTAGTCTACCCCGAGTCTACTACGAGTCTACTACTCCCCTCTCTCCCTTAGTCTACTACGTCCCCCCTCTCTATGCTTCTTACCTCAGTCTCCCTATTTCTCCCCACGTGCCTCCCCTCTGGTTCATCCTGACCCCCCCAATAAGGAGGCCTAGTATGCACTTGGGGGCTTGAGGCCTAGGAATGGGAAGGAAGATGTCAGCAGGAGGTTTTCCTTGTCCCCAGCATCTCCTCCCCTTCCACCTCTACAGTCAAAGCAGGATGGGCTTGGGCCACTATGCCAGGAACCAAGGAGTCAGGAAGCCAGGGTGGCTGGCAGTCGGGCTGTTGGTTGATGGAAAAGGACAGGTGGGAGGTGCTAAAGCCAAAAGAGAAATGTAGAGAACTAGACTAACAGTAAAAGGAGCAACACAGAGACCTGAAAGAGAAAGTGACCAGCTGCCCTAACTCCACAAAGCCTTACTGCCCCAAAGACACAGGATTAGCGATGTCCCATCTTTCCTCAGAGGGCCCTGGACATCCCTCCAAATAACAAAACTGCTCCTGGGCCGGCCGGTGGCTCACTCAGGAGAGTGTGGTGCTGATAACACCAAGGCCCTGGGTTTGGATCCCATATAGGGATGGCTGGTTGCTCACTGGCTGAGCGTGGTGCCATCTTTTTTTTTGTAAAAAGATGACCGGTAAGGGGATCTTAACCCTTGACTTGGTGTTATCAGCACCACACTCTCCCAAGTGAGCCACGGGCTGGCCCGTTACCGGTCATCTTTTAAAAAAAAAAAGACAACAAAACTGCTCCTTCTCCATCCCCACCCCCACCCTCCATAAAGATCCTCTGGTTCTGGGAATGTCAGTGAGGAGGAAGAATGAGGCTACTTCCTACAGTACTGCTTGGCT